ATTGCAAAATCACCAAACTGTTATTCATTTTGCAAAAAACAACTAGAAGAAAAAAGGCAAAACAAAACCAGTTGGTAACAATTCGAACAAATTTTGGTGGGCAAAAACCACCAACTATTGTACGTCTTACGCGCAAATTTGAGTCAAACAAAAAATCAACCATAGTGTAGGGACTTTATCTTCATTATTATTCGTCATGAAAAGGACGTATATGCCTAAAAAAAGTATAAATAATAGTAAACCCCATAAAAAAATATGCTATATGTATTGAATATGCTTTTTTTTAAAAAAAGCTACATTGTACAGAAAATCAGCGAAATAACAAACACGCAGGGAAGTAAGTAGTAGACAAAACAGATTTTGTCTGCCTGAGGCTATTCGAATTTTAAAAGTCATGCCAAGCCACCCCACTGGGCAAGCTGCATTCCACTCAAAGGGGACCAAAACTGGAAGAAAACCCAGTCGCCCAATAAGCGACTTTCAAAAGAGTAAAAAAATCTGTGGGCCGGGAAAAGGCTGGATTGCAATGAAAAGAAGGGCAGTAAGGAATAAAAAAAAATCTGAGGGGGGGCAGAAAAAGGCTGGGTTGCAATTACAAGAAGGACAGTAAAGAGTAAAAGATCTGAGTACAATCTTCAAGCGTGAAAAGGCTGGGTTGCGTAACTCATTTCCCCTAAATAAGCAAGGTTTTACTCGTTGAACAAATCTCTTGAGTTTGTTATCAATTTTATAACCACTTACTTTTTTTTATATGCGTTATTAGTATATAATGTTTTTTATTAGATCACCAATAGCTTTTTTAGCATGTGCTCAGACACTCTTTTCATGTCTAGCTGTATGAAGGTAAAGTGACCATTTCTCCGTTTAAAATAAGTTCATTATTTACATCAGACCGTCCATCACAGACCCGAAATACTAAAAAGAAAAAATCAGGCACAACGATAGACGCAGGTACAGTGTCGTGATTGAGGCTATATACGTAATATATGCCTCTATCTACACTTCTTAAATCTTCCATTTGATAATCCTAAATATAACTCTTATCGATACTTTACATTAAATACTGATCATTTAATTTATGTACAGGCTTGATCTCATATCATCCTTCATACAAGTATAAGGCATACTCATTTAAAAAATAACATTAATATGAAAATATGTGAAGGTTACATTAGCCACAATGAGGTGCCACAGCTACCTTTATTAAGAACTACAATTTCCCCTGAACAGTGTGCTACAAGATATACACAGTTTAAGGATGAATGTTATTGTTATTGACATCTCATTATGGTCTTTCTTTACGGGATCATTACATCCATTTCCACATACGGCCACTTTAAAATTTCTGGGTCATTTAGGATCGGGTACCTTTTGGCTATCCCAAAGAGTTGGATTTTTTCAAGAGGCCCTGTTACACGCACTGTAAATATACCAAATATAAAATTCTTATATGCTACCTGTCGGATTGTGTCAGTCTATCATAGTTGAGATAAGTCTTTTAAAACTATTTTATCAGACTCATAAAACCCCTCCTCCAAAGTTTTGTTCCTTGGGTTTTGCGATACTTTTAATTTCTTGCTCAATGCCCTGTAACATAGTCAGACGCGTGCTTTTTTTGTTTTGTTTCCATTACTGCTCAAAAGAATATTTTCTGTAAACGTTCATTCTCAATAGGTTGTGTATGAGAAACCCCCCCGTAATTTTTGGCGGTTCTTACTTTAATATAGTAAGGGCAATTGTATTTGCAATTGTCCTTTTGACGTTGACGATTAGTGTCTCAAACTTGTTTTTGAGGGGAAGATTTTTAATAAAATTGGTAGTGATCTCTTTGGTGGCATTGGGTGTTCATGTTGGCAAAAGAGCAGACACTTCCAAAAGTTTCAATATTTATTTTGTTTTATTTTTACAGAGTGTAAAGCGATTAAGGGACAGTCACTACAGCATGTGATCTTTAAGGAACAGCCAAAAGGTTTCCGATCCTAGGCTGTCACTACGCTCACTTTGGCTGTATCTAAAATGTAACATCTCCCCGGAGGGAGGGCGTAAAATAAGCCCACTGTTTACTTTGAGAAATATCTTTTTTCTACTCTTGCTAGAGGATAACAGCATCAATTAAATACGACGTTTAGAGCAATGTTTTCCCAACCGTTTTTAGAAGAGACTTAGTGTGTTCATCATAAAAAGTCTACGGAAAGCTTCAAAACCTTGACCTTAACATTGGTTGGTCATTGGCGAAAGAGAATTCTATGAAAAGAAACCTACAGAATACGAAAACAATCACCATATCGTAAAGCCTTATGTAGGCGCTATTAAATGCCCTAACTTTTTTTTACCAATATGCTTGCTGACCTCCTGTCAAAATTGCTTGTATTAAGAACAGCAACTGTCATAACATTAAGTTATTAGAGCTTTTGTGCTTTCAATTGAAAGATCCCCCTCCCGCCTCAAACACAGTTTAAGTTAACCAAACAGAGAAAAGAAAACAAACAAATTCTTCGTTCTTTATGTACCGATTAACATCTGTTGCCATTTTTTATAGTACGCCCTGTGACATAATTCACACTCTCGAGATTACACCATTTTGGCCCACATCTTTTTTATGTTCTCCCGCATCAATCCCTCAAACTGTTTACAGTAGTTATATATCTTTATTTTTATTGGTTCTTCCATCACTTTTCAGCACCTTATTTTCTTGTTTCTTGTCATCCTCATATCATCAAGCCGAAACATACCTCTATTTCCTTGTATTTTAAACCCTTATCCACAAAGTATGCTTTATGCGTCGCATTCATTTACCCTCTTGTGTCATGCTTCTCATGTCATACTTGATCTCGTATCCACCTTCTGCTTTTCTTTTCTTGAATTTGATGTATTTTTGATCTCACTAATACTTTCTAACCTTGTCTCTCTTGCTCTCCTTTGTCCGATTACATCTATTGTTGTTGCAAATAAATACCTCATAAAGGAAGTCCAGCCTTCAATTCTTTCATAATCCTCAATGAAATTTTGTCATTATCTTCATTGTCTACAGACAGCCTACAGCAATTGCCTATAATTCCAAACTGTCTTTGGCGATCCTTTCCCAAAGATGATGGTATCTATCATGAGAATTTGTTGACCGTCTGTTGCAGTTATAAGTTTCCTGATCTCGATTTCCAGTTGCTGTTTTTATTATCACGGCGTTAATCCACTAGTCTAAACCAGCAGGCTAAACATTTATCAAAATGAAGGTCAAATACCTGATAAACGGTAAAAGATGATTTAAACTATGGGCAGCTAAAAACGAAATTAGAACAAAAATAAAAGCGAGTCCCCATGCCTGTATAATTACCTGTTTAACCCGGTTTTATAGGTGGTATAAAAATGGAAAGCTTCCTACAGTTTTTTTTTGTGAGATTGTGGGAAAGAAAAAAAAAAGCGGTGCGTTTTTTTTTTCAGCTGTTAAGAAACTTTTGTTATACCCAGAAATTTCTGAAGCAGAATGACTTTGCCGCGTTAGGACATCTGGCTGTCTATCATAGAAACAAAAACTGCAAATGTATACTAATGCTGTTCGTAAAAAGATCTGGTACGCTCTCTTGACAGTTTCTCAGCCGTTTTTTGCGCATTATACAAAAATGGAAGGAAACGCAGCGTTCAAGTTCTAGCCTGTGGCACTCCTTATGCTGTGGCCGATGAATACGCTTGTACGACTTGATGACGTGAAACAGCTTCAGCTTCACCTCAGGTCGTACATTCCACCTTTTCAGTATTATGGAGAAAATTCTTGGTGCTCATTTTTAATCATTCATCAAGAAGACATTCAACCAGAGTAATTTCAACAGAAGCCAAACCAACAAAGGAAACAAAACGCTCTAATACCTTTTCCGTTTCCATGGATAACGACGTTCATCAATTATTATGTGTTAAATTAACGCAATTTTTCCCTCTCTTTTGTATGAACCACCCCACTACGCATGATAGGTAGTGCTTAAAAGACATATCGACACTGGATGTACAGCTACACGATTATAACACAATTAAAGCAAAGAAAGAATCAGAGTTCAATCTGGAGGAAGTTCCTGCAAAATGTTTGGTCATAACACCTCTATAACATATCAGACTTGAATTATGTGTGATCAACAGGCACATACACACTAGTAGGGTGTCAAGCTGTAAATCGTTTGAGGTGAGTTATTTTGAGTTAAATGTGATTGTGATACTTACTCTTGTATGAAGCCGACCTTATCAAAGTTCCGTCTCAATCCTTGACATAATCCCAATATCATGCCAGCTACCCATACATCGATCTATTACTAAATCATGCATATGGATGAAGCAGAAGATTGGAATTTTATATATATGCACTCGTAGAAAATGACATACGTTTATTTTATCATGTTATCTGGAAATTTATTTATCTCTTTAAAGATCACTTGGTGGTTATGACCGATGGATTCTGTGTTAATTTACCGTGATGTAAGAACAATAAAATCGGATCGCTTTTAATTTTGTGGATGGGGGAAATGAAAAACATACACGGGTATTTGGTGGTAAATTAGTATATGAGAATGGTAGCTGTAAGGATGTCAATAGTCAAAATATCCGGTGCAAGCTAGTTTATGCATCCCAAAAAAAATAAAAAAAAAGCAAAAATCATACGTGACGATGTTCCGAATTTATTTTATTTGACACATGTATTCATCAACGAATACAGAGTTTGTGTGTATAAATACTGGGGAAGAAGAGAGTGTCGTTGCCTTTACATCGTCTACCATGTCCTTTGTAAATCATGCTTTTTGTTTTTGTTTTTATTTGTTTTTTTTTTGTTTTTTACGTTATTATCAGTCTGATCGTCAAGAGAAAGAAACAGGATCTTGAAAGTCTTCTTGTCCTTTACGTCCTTGATCATTTTGTCAGCTACATCAAATGCAGTCGAGTTGGGCTTCCTTTTTTTTACAGCCTCAACAGCAAACAATTAAACCTTGTTTATATTTAAGTATTATGGTTCTCTATAATTCATGGCTGTCGCTAGGTTTAACCTTGATCGATTACTTTCCAGTGTTTGTCACCATGAGAACTTGATGGTTGATTGCTTCATCAAAGAAAAGATCAGTGTATTCTTTTTTTCTTACCCTGTGAGCAGTCTTCAGAATTTAGCTACTGAGAAAAAAAAAATGAACGCTCTATTCTTTGATTTCCTGCGCAATACCCTGCGACATAGTCAGACGCGAGCTTTTTTTGTTTCCATTACTGATCGAAAGAATATTTTCTGTGCCGAGTTCGTAAACGTTCGTTCTCGATAGTTTGAGCATGAGAAACCCCCCCCCCCCCCTTTTCTTTTTGGCGATTCTTACTTTAATATAATAAAGACAATTATGTTTGCAATAGTCGTTTTGACGTTGAAGATTAGTGTCTCAAAGCTATTTTCGAGTGCAAAGTTTTTAATAAAACTGGTATTGATTTCTTTGGTGGCGTTGGGTGGTAAAGTTGGCAAAGGAGCAAACACTTTCAAAAGTTTCAAGTCAATATTTATTTTAATTACTGGAGAAAAGAAGTTGTTTTATTTTTACAGTGTAAGGCGCCTAAGGGACGGCACAGCCAGTACAGCATGTGATCTCTTAGGAACAGCCAAAAAGTCTCCGATCCTTGGCTGTGACTACGTTTGCTTTGGCTGTATCTACGTGTAATTTTCGGATGGAGGGCGTAAAATAAGCCCACTGTTTACTTTGTGAAATATCTTTTTTTTTTTTTTTTTTTTTTTTTTTTTTACTCTTACTAGAATAAAGATAACAAAATCAATTAAAACGACGTTTGACGCACTTTTTCCCAGTCCTTTTTAAAAGAGGCTCGATGTGCTCATCAAAAAAAGTCTACGGAAAGCGTCAAAACGTTGACCTTAACATTGGTTGATCATTGACGAAAGAGAATTCTATAAAAAGAAAAAAAAACAGCTATAGAATACGAAAACACCGTATCGTAAAGCCTTATATAGGGGTTATTGAATGCCTTACTTTTTTTTTACCTTAGGCTTGCTGACAACCTGTCAAAATTGCTTGTATTAAGAACAGCGACAGTCATAAATTGGATGAAGTTATTAGAGCTTTCATGCTTTCAATTGAAAGATCCCCCGCCTCAGGGATATTTTAAGCTAATAAAAAAAAAACAGAGAAAAGAAAACAAACAAATTCTTCGTTCTTTATATACCGATTTACAGCCATTTTTTTACAGTACACCCTGTGAGGAAACTTTTAACATAATTCACACTCGAGATTACACCATTTTGGCCCATACCCCTTTTATATTCTCCCGCATCAATCCCTCAAACTGTTTACAGTAGTTATATATCTTTATTTTTATTGGTTCTTCCATCACTTTTCAGCACCTTATTTTCTTATTTCTTGTCATCCTCATATCATCAAGCTGAAACATACCTCTATTTCCTTGTATTTTACACCCTTATCCACAAAGTATTCTTCTTGCGTCGTAATAATCTCCCATCTCGCGTTATACTTCTCACGTTATGCTTGATATCGTATCCATCTTCTGCTTTTCTTTTCGTGGATCTGCTGAATTTTTGATCTCACCAATACTTTCTGATCTTGTCTCTCTGGTTCTCCTTTGTCCGATTACACCTATTGTACTTCTTTTTGCAAATAAATACCTCGTAAAGTGAAGATCAGCATTCAATTCTTTCATGATCCTCAATGAAATTTCATCAATATCTTGAACGTCTATAGACAACCCACATAAATTGCTCATAATTCCGAACTATCATTCGGCGATCCTTTCCCAAAGGTGATGGTAACTATTATGAGAATTTGTTGACCATCTGTTATAGTTAAAAGTTTTCTGATCCCAAGATCAAGTTTCTAGTATTACTATCACGGTGTTAATCCACTAGTCTAATCAATAGACCAAACATAAATCAGAGTGAAGACCACATACCTGATAAACGGTACAAGATGTTTTAAACTTTGGGAAGCTAAAAACGAAATTAGAAAAAAAAAATAGCGAGCCCCCATGATTGTATAATTACCTGTTTAATCTGGTTTCAAAGGTGGCAGGACATCGGAAAACTTCCTACACGTTTTCTTGTGAGCTTGTGGGAGAAGGTGGGGAAAGAAAAAAAATAAAAGAGGTGCGTTTTTTTTTTTTTTTTTTTTTTTTTTTTTTTTTTTTTTTTTGTTAGCGTTTGAATAGTCAAGTCACAGCAGGACATCCACCAGGCAGTCTTCAATTAATTTTATCAGCTTTTGAAAAACCTCTGTTATGCCCAGAAATGGCTAAAGCAGAAGGACTTTGTCGAGTCAAGACACTTGGCTGTCTACCATAGAAACGAAAACTGCAAACGTACAGTAATGCTGTTCGTAAATAGATCTGGCACGCCCTCTTGGGATGATGGTCATTCCTTAGCTGTTTTTTGCGCAACGTACAAAAATAGAAGGAAACGCAGCGTTCAATTACTTACCTATGGCACGCATAATGCTGTGGCCGATACATACACTTGTCTGATTTGATGACGTGAAACAGCTTCAGCTACACCTCAGGTTGTATATTTTACCTTTTCAGTATTTGGAGAAAGTTCTTGGTTCTCATTTTTAATCATTCATCAAGAAGACATTCAACAGGAGTAATTTCAACAGAAGCCAAACCACCAAAGGAAATAAAACGCTCTAATACCTTTTCCGTCCCCATGGATAACGACGTTCATCAATTATTATGTGTTAAATTAACGCAATTTTTCCCTCTCTTTTGTATTGAACCACCCCACTACGCATGATAGGTAGTGCTTAAAGGATATATCGGCATTGGATAAACAGCTACAGAATAATAACACAATCAAAACAAAGAACGATTTGAAGGAGTTCAATCTGGAGGATGTTCCAGCCATACATTTGGTCATAGCACCTCTATGACATATCTTATACTTGAATTATGTGTGATTAACAGGCACGTACACACTGGTAGGTTGTTAAATGTGATTGTGATACTTAGGCTTTTATAGAGCCGTCCTAAGCAAAGATCCGTCTCAATCCTCAGCATAATCCTAACAACATGACAGCTACTCATACATCAATTTATTAATAAAGCATACGTATGGCTGGAGCAGAAGATCGGACTTATATATATACACTCGTAGAAAATGGCATAAGTTCATTTTATCATGTTATCTGGAAGTTTATTTATGTCTTTAAGGATCACTTGGTGATTATGACCGATGGATTCCATATTAATTTACCGTGATGTAAGGACAATAAAAATGGATCGCTTTTAATTTTGTGGATGAGGGAAATGGAAAACATACACGGGTATTTGATGGTAAATTAGTATATGAGAATAGTAAATTACACGCCACAAAGGAGCAACAAGGATGTTTATAACCAAAACAATCCGGTGCAAGCCAATTTGTGTATTACAAAAAAAAAAAAACAAAAAAAAAAAAAAAAAGCAAAAATCATACGTGACGATGTTAGGAATTCATTTCATTTGACACATGTATTCGTTACCGAATACAGGGTTTGTGTGTATAATTACTGGGGGGAAAGAGAGTGTCATTGCCTTTACATCGTCTGCCTTGTCCTTTGTAAATCATGCTTTTTTTGTTTTTTGTTTTTTTGTTTTTTACGTTATTATCAGTCTGATTATCACGGGAAAGAAACAGGGTCTTTAATGTCTTCTTGTCCTTTACGTCCTTGATCATTTTATCAGCTACATCAAATACAGTCGAGTTTGGTTCCCTTCTTTTAAAACTTCAACAGCAAACAATCGAACCTTGTTTATATTTAAGTTTTGTGCTTCTCTACAATCCATGGCTGTTGCTAGGCTTAACCTCGATCGGTTGCTTTTCAGTGTGGTCACCATGAGAACCTGATGGTTGACTGCTTCATCAAAGAAAAAACCGGGTGTATTCTTTTTTCTAAACCCGTGAGTAGTCTTGGGAATTCAGCTACTGAGAAAAAAAAGAAAAAAAAAAAAAAAGAGGAACGCGTGAGCGGGGACAGAAAAAAGCAATTTCAGCGGTATTTGACCTCGAGTCTCACTGCCTGCCTAATTCATTGAGCACCGGTGGAGAGTCACTGCTTATGCGCACAAGCTTACTTGCCAGTATAATAAAAAATTGTCCTACTTGCTTTTTTTAGAATGTTTTTTTTTTCTTTTTTTTTTCTTTTACATTAAAATCAACCTTTGTTCGTACATAATAACCCCCCCCCTCCCATAAACTTAAAGCAATAGAACTGTCTGTCCAGAAAAATAAAAGAGACAATGTATACCTTACACTTAAGTAATTACTGGTTTTTATAAAAGGAGGGACACCAAGATTAAGCAGCTGAATTCAACTCAACGAGACTTTTTTTATCTGCAAAGCAAAAGTTAGGTCTTTGCGTTAATTCCTAAAAAGACATGGACAAGTTAACTCCAGTTCAAGTATGAATTGGTAAGAAGTGGCTACAGTTGAATCAGGAATAACTAACCCGTTTACGTCTACTTCGACTACAGTTCATTTACACAACGTAGCCATTAGCACTCAGTAAACAAGATGTATGTCACGAATCGTTTTCGGGACTAACACTATAAACACGTAAAGCTTATATTTACAAGGACCTTGAACAAATAATAAAGGAGTTTAGCAACCTCTTCTTTGTTTAGAAAATCTTAACTGATCAATCTAACTGTTTATTGTTGATGCTGGATACTGTTCCGATGAAACGGAAATATTATTTAGTTCTTTATCTGGTAATGGCATCAAAATAATACATGTCCAATTGCTTTTATAGAACATTGAAATGTTCAATTTTAAATAATAAAAACAATCTTACTTATAGCCTATTTAATGAGAAAGTTTCTTGATACATTATAGAATACATTCTATCTGAACTTAAGATGAGTTGACATTATTTAAAAATCAATCAATTTTATTTAATTTCAATAAAAGGAAGCTCGTGTAACTTTTGTCTCAAGCGCATATTTTGATCTTTCTATTGGAGGTGGACAAAGATGAAGGAGAGGTGGACAGGGATACTGAGAGGTGGACAGTGATCCTGAGAGGTGGACAGGAATACTCGCATATTTTTTTGTTTTTAGGGCTTAAAACCAAAAAATAG